ATTCGTTTCCAAATAATTCCAATATTCAATTTGATAAGCAAAAATATGAACAAAATTCAGCCTTTGATTTTAATCTTAATATTCTAGTGAAACAATTAATTCCATCTTTTCAAAGCACCAATCATCAACGTTTGAGCAATCATCAACGTTTGAGACATGCCAAAACCCTCCCCCATTGCACCATCAATCAAAACAAAGATGCGTCGCTCCTTGTAGCAAATAAGTTTAAAGCATCATCGCCAGACACAAACAAAAACTAAAACCAAGAAATAATTCTAGGAAGCAACTACATCAAACTGGTCAATTTGTAAATTTTTTTGCTCTCATAAATTAAGCAATTGATATTAATCCAACAAACTAGGCCATAATTTTTATGCTTCTTGCAAAGTAATCCATCAGTCAACACAAATAAGTTTGCATTGCAAGTGACCAGATACCTCTAGAATTCAGCATTAGAAGTAGATACAATCTCATCATCCAGAAAATCATCAGAAAGATGTATAAGATTATATTGGTAGTGAATTTAATACCCACTCACAAGGATAAAGTTAGAAAAGAAAAAAGATCCAAAGAATTTACACTAACTTTGTAAAATAAGGCCAAACTAGGCTCATCAAAAACTAGATTAGGTTAATTCCAGAATTTTCTAAGTCTTCCAACTTGTAAGAGTTAGTTCTAACACAGTACAAAATATTAAAAGGCTTTACTTTTCATGTATTTAATTTCATAAAAGTTCATAAAGGAAGCCTCTATGAATTTAAACACACAATGATTTTATCGTCACTAGGTTTAAACCCACATACCTCCTATTCAGCTTAGCATAAAGCTTATAACTATCATAGTTATTAACCAATTTCTATGAAATCATAACGCAATTCATATAAATCATGCAAGTTATGCAAATAATAAAAAAAAGTAAATAAAACTTAAAATAGTAATATGTGACCTACAACTAATTCTAGAAAACTAAAAGTAAATAAATCCATATTTAGAATGTCCATATGGGCGAGCAATCTCCATTAAAAAAAACAAATGGTTTAAAATAAGTTTTGATGAATTACACACCTTTGAAAATGATCACATCGATAAAATTTTAAATTTTAGGTTCCTTTTAAAGAAATCGTTGTAAGACATAAACAAATATCCTCAAATATTGTTGCTACTTAGCTCTTGTCATAAGTTTTTTTCTTGTACTTGAATGCTACTAAACGACAAATAAAAAATAAATCCAACATCAATTTTATCATCCATTGTGGAAACAATTAAGGTTTTGAAACCGAAAACAGTATTGAACCTATAAAAGGAAAAGTTTCAACGTTTAAAGATTCAACCATAACAATATCATAAAAAAAAAACCATATAATTATCATTTAAATGGCACACTAGTTATAAGTACATAATAGTACATTTTACTGGCATCCTAATTTTAGTCACTAATCAAACAAGCTAAAGACAAATAATTTCTAGGAATCAAACTTAATCCCATCATATAGTAAATGTAAATAAAATTACGCAATTAAGAATTGTTTGCTTTCAATTTTTATTAAGATTAGGGCATGTTATTGGTTAGTTGTACAAAAGTATTGTTTGGCTTGGTGTTTAGAATCCAAAAACTATTTGTTCCATTAAAATTTGGTTGATTTTTGACAAAATTAAGAACCTTCCAATTCTTAAAAATTAAATAACTTGACTGTTCAACAATTCAACCACCGGTTAAATTGATTTGTTGATTCAATTTCATTTCAGTTTTGTCACTTAAATTTCTTATGTACTTGATGAATGCTTAACTGATAAAACTGGTCTTATCTAAAGTTTTAAAATTTAGAGAAAAATAAAATAGATCATTAATAAGAAGTTGCACTTTCAAATTGCTTATTTGATTTATTAATTACATTAGATATAATTAGTTCATATTCACGTTCAAAAATAGACTAAACGTCAATTAGAAGTTCCTATTTGGATTTGATCAAAAGCACAATTTCAGTTTTAAATTCAAATTTTTAGATCAAATATGGATTCCAGTTATAGGCACAGTCTAATATAGTAGTAGATTAAAATTCAATATCGTTAGATATAAATTCAGATTATAAATACAATTTTTTTTTTTTTTTTTTTTTGCACTCTAAATAATATTCATGAACCACTATTTGTTATAGTGTCATTAGATCCAAACATATCAGATTCTTAGGTTGTTGTATATGGTATGGATAAGATATTATAGAGTTTCCCAAGGAAGTGACACAAGATGCAACATCCTAATAGAATACATATAATATACTTCAATATTCAAATATCTAGATAAAGACTCGAATGATGTTTTCAGTGAATTTTTACTTAGTTCAAACCAAAATTCTCGCATAAGACCTTTAATGAAGCAAGCAGCGGTAACAAAATAATCTAAAGGCAACTCATACATAGCTATAGGATATGTAAAACATGCATAATAGTCAAAAACATAAGATCTTTTTTGTTTATAACATAGAAATTGAATATGTACTTTGTCTGGGTATCACAAATTAGTAGATATTTGTCTTTAAACTTATGCTATATGCCAGTCCATATTGGTTTTACTGCACTTCAAAGATTACACCAAATAGCTAAGCAAGTCCTACTAATTTGTTTCAACAATTTTAACATTTTAGAATCAAATTAATGATAATACTGAAAAAATCATTGCAAATTATTGATCAAACTGAAAATTTTCTATAGTTACTCGCATCAAACATAAGAATGTAACTTTAAACCAAATAACATTTATGATTTAGTTGAATAAAACCATAATTTACAATAACAAGTTTAAAATGCATAATTTCTTAATTTTTAATTGGTACAATTAATATGTCCTATATTTTGCAGCCTTAAGATCTCATTCCACTCTGACATAGGATGCTTTAGAACAAAAGTTTTGTATTGCAACTAGAATAATGTAATGTATGTAAATTATGCAAAAAAGATTTAGAATTCACGAATCATGAATAACTAAATCGAATCATGAATAACTAAATATGGAAAAAAAAAAAAACTTATTTTCTTTAAATGCAAAATAATAAATACAATAATTATAGCCCAAACAATAATGAAACAATCGAAAAAAACCCAAATAGTGACAAACTCAAACCACACATAATTTGCAAAGTAATTATAATTTAATCGCTAAAATTAGAATCTTGATTGTGTCAAATTTGGAAAACTTTAGAGAACTAGCAAGCTAATAACAAGATATATTAATGAAATTAAATTAAGGAAAAACATTCAGCAATGCAAGAAATTTTGGCCCTTCCCTCAAAATTAAATAACAGAACTTACACCACAACTCGAAAGAATCACAAATTTAACTGGTATACACAAAATTAGAAATGGAAAAGAAAAATGGTGCAATTAAAGATCACAATTTTACAAAGCCCAACCACCTTCATAAGATCTAGCAAAATAGTCTTCCATTATATACCAAAACAAAACAAGAAACTATCTCCTCTTGTTAGCAAATAAAATCAAAGCACAAATTCTAACCATTAAAATAAAAATGATAACAAAGAAAAAGCTTTAGGGTATAGCACAGAGAAAGCAATTGCGTCATTAGGGCTTTATTTAGGACAGCTTGTTAATTGCTCTTATGGTAGGAAAATCAACCAGCAAAAAGCAATTTCTTTGGATGAAAAATTGAATAGCTTCTAACCAAATTTTTCCAACATTTCCTTTTGAGAAAGCAAAATAAAATTCATGATTGTGAAAGCAGCTTTTAAAAATTCTTATAACAAATATAGAAAAGCATAAGGGTCTATTTGGGTCAACTACAACTGTTTATTAAAGTAGATTTAGAAGTATTGTTTAAAGAAATAGACTTTTTGCAGGTTGTTATTGGCATTTTAAACATTTCTCTTTCAAAAAATTCAGAAAGCAATTATTTTACAGCTATCACATTTAGCATATCTGATAATAAAAGTAGCTTCTCATAGCGAAAAAATTTCAAAATAATAACAAAGTTGTAGCCAAACAATTATAAATCCTAGGTCGCTCTAATCTACAAAGCAATCTGGAGAATAAAGCAATGGAAAAGTTGCCCCAAATAGATCCCGGGTCAACCTAACAAAACCTAGGGATTGTAAAAAGCTTGTGAAGAAGACAAACAGCCATAAATCCTTCTCTCTTTTTGGTGGCAGAGATTTCTCATGCCACTCTTTTACTCCCTTAATTTCGTGTATTCACACTTACCGGACACCACCCTAAGGGTAAATTAATTTTGTTTTATGTGCTCAAACTCACATGTTTTTATAAAAAAAATTATTAAAAAAATCCCAAACACCACAGGGGCGCTATAGGTGTTCTTCAAGGCTAATAAACAGGTTTTTAGGATAAAAAAAAGAATGAAGTTCGAGATAGTGAAGGGACAGGTATTTGAATAGATAGAGTGGTTAGAACCATGGAAGGAGAAGTTTACTGTGCAGGATCAGTGGATTTTAGCAGAGTGGATGGAAGATAAACTATCAAGTGCATGTGATGTACCAAACGATGAAACCGTGATAGTGCTTTACAAAAAAATCGGAATAGCATACTCGAAACAGTCCTTGACATTCTGGCATGTTCTGTGATTCTAAATTACAAAACCTAACACCTCATTATGCTTCTCTATTCAGTGATGTTGTTCTAAATCAAAGAAGGTATCACTGAGTTCTCTTGTTCATAAGCAGCATCATCTTTGACTCACCAATTTGCCATCCTTAACTCTTCATTAGTATGATATTATGCATAAAATTCATGGTTGAATAGTAGAATCAAAATTTTAGTTCAGCAAGGTTTTCAAAGGCCGATACTAGCATACAACCTCAAAATCTATGAAACCATAAATGCACTTGCCATTCGATATAAAGGTAGAGTGAAGCAACAATTACACCAAACTAAACAAGTACCTGAGATTCATGTGCCTCAGATAAACTGACTATTTGAGTAATGACCATAAAATAAGAATGCAGGGCAATGTTCTAATGAAAAAGCAGACATACCTAAACTAGCAGCCTCTTATTGAAGACCTCTTCGTCTCTTGTAGTCACTAACACTCAATGTCAAGACATGTCGTCTCCCATCATTGTCAGGCACCTTATAGCCAATCGTTGCTTCTATCTTTTGCTTTCTCGCCATGAAACCGAGATGTACACCGTGAGGGCCCCCAAACTTTTGGAGGCCAGCCAAAGATATTGGCAAATCAAAATTATGTAGAGAATTTGATTCTGTACCAAGATCAACCGGGGCTGAGGTGTCAACCAATTTTCCTGCATCTGCAGCGGCCTCCAGAGCTTCTGCAGTGGCTAACACACCAGCTTCCACCCCATTAACTGCAGCAACCCCATCTGCATCTCTTGCACTAGCAGTTGCATTCCTATTATCACCATTTGTGACTGTTCCATTTTCATCCACCCCGGGCTTGGGAGGCACATAATAATTAATGGACCTAGTCCATCTTCTTGAGAATGGATCATAACCTGCCTCACCAGCCTTTAAGCTAAAATTAACTGGTTTCAACTCTGATGCATTCCTAAAGTTCTCTGCTTTGTTCTTTCGGTTCATTTCTGCTAATTTCATAGCTTTAGCATCAATTCTCTTAGGCTGTCTGGATAAGTCTTCTAGTTCCTTCAGCTTTGCACGGATTCTATCTACCTCAGTACCATTTCCATTACTCTCTGCCGATTCCATCTCTTTCCTAAGACGATCCTTCTCAGCTGCAATGTTTAATGGCCTCGAAGAAGCCGATTTCTTTTCCTTTATCATTTGCTTCACAGTATCTGCTGAATATACAAAAGAGCTAGCTTTTTTTATTTCTTCTTTCTTATCATCCACATCTTGTCGACATGGGATCCTGCCTCCATTACGCTCCACCTCTCTTACCCACTCTTTAAATTCATCCTCAGTTGGTAGAGAGTCAGAAACCATAGCCATCTGCCACCTAGCTGCCGAGGCCTCGCTACCCCACACACAGTTCAGCCACTTGCAAGTTGTACGGCCCTCAAGTTTGTAATGTTTGTCCGGGTCATTGGCATCCACATTTTTAACGACGCAAAGCCTGTACTTAGGACCTTTTTGTGTCTTTCCAATACCAACCCTTACAAAACACCCAACAACAATATTTTCAAAGAAAGGCTCCATAAGCCATTTAGCCAACTTTGATCTGCGAATTGTTATTTCTTTAACATCTTCATACCTAATTGGTTCCGATTTAGATGTCAATAGATCCTCTAAATTATCCCCCATATCAACATCATCAGCTAGTTTGTCTTCCTTGCCTTCAACACTTGTTCCCTCATCATCGCTATCACTTGAATCAAGTGCAGGAATAGAAATTGAACGGCGTTTGGGAGAAGGATCTCTATTGCCAAAAGCAGACCCAGTAACTCCTCCTGAATCCCTTAACCTCCGGTAACCCTCCGGGTCCTGCTGCCTCATCCTCTTAGCTCGTAGCTCATTTAATGCATCAGTTTTTGCAGCAGTCCTCTCAGTCCTGACAGAAGAACGCCCACGGGAAGGAAGAGGTGGGGGGCTCTCTTTTCTAGATTTCTCCATCTTTGTTGATGAGGCCCTTGCTTTCTTCTTTAGGCGGTAATCATCAATCTTTGTACTTCTTTCTGCTAAGATCATCTCACGATCCAGCTCTGACAATTTTCCCAGCTCTTCCTTATCCGCCTCATCTCTGTACAGATCACTTCCAACAGAAGGTGCACTATCAGAATCATCACCACTAAGCCGATCATCATGATCATCTACCCAGTTGCTCCTCTTGTCTTTCTCAGGGGGATCTAGCCTCTTCTTTAAGGGAACTTGTGATCCAGCGTGTCTCCGCTTGTTGAAATTGGAGTTATCAGAATCATCCTCTTTAGAGTCGCTTCCATCAGAGTATGAACCTTCCCGTCGCCATCTTGAATGTGGATGGGACTGGTTCTTTCTAGATGATGTGCCAGTTCTGCCAGCAGCTTGGAGTAGCAAATTCTCCAAGTCTGCCATGAGTACAAGTTCCTTCCTTAAAATCTGCAAAAGATTTGCAAGCAGGTCAGCATTGATGAGAAAAACTAATTTCAGGTTCCTTCTGAACAGATGCCATAGAAATACATTGAAAGAATGATTTAAAAGGGTAACAGAAACTTACAACAGAAAGCCAATGTCAAGTCAACAGGAATATATTGCACCTTGAACTTGTTCTGTTTGGTTATTGTCAGCACTAATTCCCTATAACAAAAACAAATGTTAGAAATAATTGCATCCTGAGATAACCTGAAAGTCAACAAATCAAGAACCATACAAGCATAACTAACCAACGCATTCACAAAAATCAGTGATCAACATATATTTATTCCGGGTAAAATTCATTGTCACCATTTGCCCAAGTCCAACCATTTTTATGCCATTTTATGATCTTTTTTATTTCCATTCAACACAAGGGAAACAATTCATACAACAAATGAGTCATTTATGGGCTGGACAAATTTTTTTTCTATGGGCATTTACATACATACTGTTGTGAAAAACAACGGCAATGAAGCGAAAATGGAACGAGAAAAATTACACGCAGAAAAAACATCAGAGCGACACACAAGCGACACACAGATTTACGCGGTCGACACACAGATTTACGCGGTTCGGCAAAATTGCCTACGTTCACGGAGCTGCAGAGAATTTTACTACTTCGAGGAATTACACCGTCGAACGCCTTGACGTTTACAAGAAAATATCTATTTTCTTCTCTTCTTTCCTCTTTCTCTCTTCCTCTCTTTCTCTTAGCTCTCAAGAGGACTTGACTTGGCCTTGCTTGGCTTTCCTTGGCTTTCCTTGGCCTTGCTTGGATTTGCTTGAGTTTCCTTGGCCTTGCTTGGATTTGTTTGACTTTCCTTGGCCTTGCTTGGCTTTGCTTGGCTTGCCTTGGCCTTGCTTGGCTTTGTTTGACTTGCATTTCCTTTAAACCAAAAGAGACTATTTATAGAAACCATGAGAGCGTTAGGTGGGATGTAGGTGAGCGGTAAGTAGAATGTGGTAGGTAAGCGGTAAGTGCGTGTGGTAGGTGAGCAGTATGTGAGATAATTAAGAAGCTAATTAAATTTGGTGGACCGGGTCTCCACATTACCCAACAATTCTTCCACTTGGAGACTGAGACACTGAATGCATCACCTACTAGCTGCATCATCTACTAGCCGTACCGATCTTTTCCTCAAAAATGATATCCTCCACCTCTGCAACTCGAAACCCCTGTCTTCGTGCCAAAAGAGCAGCTGAAGTTGAACACAACTTCAATTTCTCACGAGTAACACTCTCAGTAGGCATATCACCGTCAAAGTAGCCTCGTACCACAAGTTCTTTCCTAGGTTACTCTTATATCTGCTTACAACTCCCACTGCATGAGCAATATCCTGCCCCTGCTGAAATCCCTTTTCAACAAGTTCAGCCGTGTACCTCTTACTGCCATCAAGCACAGTTTTCACCCCCACTTGTTGTGCAACGTCTTCTTCTTTGGTGGAAGTTTTGTCAGCTCTCAAGTCTGATTCTCTGGCAGGGAATCTGTCTCCTCCTTCTTGGTCAGCTCCCACTTGCTCGAATTCTTATATTGCAAGATTTTTTCATAACTCTGAGTTTCGCCACCATTTGTCTGTACAAGGTCTGGTTTTTTTGCCTTTAGCGCTCTGTCAGTTTTCAGGAAATAGATCTTATTTTGCTTACCCATAATGCACCTCTGACTCATGTGTCCACACCTGAGTAAACCTATAGTCATATATAGTGTGTCAGTTTTCTTATCCCGAGCCATTATTAATGCTCATTTGGTGACCTTCCAGGTGATATCTGAGAACACCACTAAATGACCACTCTCGTTAAGCTGCCCAACAGAGATGAGGATTTTCTTCAACTCAGGAACATGTCTGACCTTTTGCAATCTGACCTTTTGCAATCTTTTGCAATGTCCATTTACTCTTATTAGGGAGTGCAATATCAATGTCTTCCATCCCCACCACGTCCAGAGCTTTTCCACCAGCCAGATGTACCTTCCCAAAGTTACCTGTAACATAATTTCGCATTAACTCCCGGCGGGAAGATGTATGGAAGGAAGTCCCTAAATCCAGTATCCAGTCATCAACAGAATTGTGACCTGTCAACAATAATGCATCATGTATTTCTTCAGTTATAACATTAGTTCTTTCTCCATCATCTTGGGATTCCAGCAGCTTCTCCTTATGTGGTCAGTCTTGCCACAATTCTAACAGGTTGTTTGCTTACCAGACTTTGATTTTGATCTCTTTTGATCTTCCTCTGTTTGAGTTTCTGTCATGTGAACTTCTTGTGACCTCCCTCTGGAATCAACATTCAACGCCGAACTTGAACAGGAGGCCTCGCCAGTGCGCACCTCCTCAGTCAAAATCAAATCACGAATATCATCATATTTCAGCTTGGGTTTACCTGCAGAACTGCTACTGTTTATTGCCATCCTCATGATTTCCTAGCTATTTGACAATGAAGCCAACAATATAAATGCACGTATCTCATCATCAAAATTAATTTCAACAGACAACAATTGATTTGTGATAGTATTAAAATCATTCAGGTGTTGAGCAACAGAAACACATTTCACCATCCTTAAGTTGAATAATTTTTTCATCAAATGCACCTTGTTATTCGTCGATGGCTTTTCATACATGCATGATAAAACCGCCATGAGATCTGCAGTAGTTCTCTCCTTGATGACGTTGTGGGCAACCGATCTTAACAGGGTTAATCGAATAACCCCCAGAACCCGTCAATCCAACAGATTCTATTCTGCCACGTCCGCCTCGTCCATCTTTTTTGGTCGCTTTCCCAATAATGAAAGATGAAGTTTCTTCCCATAGAGGTAGTGCTCTATCTGCATCTTCCAATAACAAAAATCTGTGTCATCAAACTTTTCGATCCCTGAAACCTTCAATGTCCTCGCTTCGTCTCCGCCCATTGTTCTTCCTTCTATTCGAACTCAAGGCATTGATACCAGTTGTAAAAAACGATGACAATAAAGCGAAAATGAAACGAGAAAAATTGCACGCAGAAAAAATACCAGAGCGACATAGATTTACGTGGTTTGATAAAATTTCCTACGTCCACAGAGCTGCAAAGGATTTTACTACTTCGAGGAATTACACCGTCGAACGCCTTGACGTTTACAAGAAAATCTCTATTTTCTTCTCTCCCTTTCTATCTCTCTCTCCCTCTCTTTCTCTTGGCTCTCAAGAGGACTTGGCTTGGCTTTACTTGGCTTTGCTTGACTTTCCTTGGCCTTGCTTGGTTTTGCTTGGCTTTTCTTGGCCTTGTTTGACTTTGTTTGGCTTGCATTTCCTTTAAACCAAAAGAAACTATTTATAGAAACCATGAGAGCTGTAGGTGGGAGGTAGCTGAGCGGTAGGTGGGATGTGGTACGTGAGCGGTATGTAAGATAATTAAGAAGCTAATCGGTGGACCGGGTCTCCACATTACCCAACACATACCACCTGATTCTTGTGTATGTACATATCTAACACCTAAACTTTTGTTTTGTACATTTATACCACTTAGATCTTTCATATCAAATCAAATATACCATTATTTAAACTTTTCAAACGTGAAACACATATTTTCATGCATGGCTAAGGTGCCATGTACATAATGCTTGAAGTTTAGGTGTTAGATGTGTAGATACATGAGAATTAAATGGTATGTATGCAAAGCTTCCTTTTTTTCTAATAAATGTTCATCCAAAACCAAATGTAGAAAATTAATCTTCTTAAAATTTTAAGATAAGAATGTTCATAATAAGATTGATTGTTCAAAAATTTGAGGGCTACAAAAAATTTTTAAGTAAATTTCTAAAGACTCATAAGTTTCACATCAGCATAAAACTTCTCACTTACAAAATCAGACAAATTTGGCAGATAGTATGGTTGGTTGGAATCCAAACATGCCTCATCTCCAAGGAAATCCTCTATCTGGATAACTTTGGAATAAAAGTTCTAGTAGTGGAGGCATACTATAAACCTCTTGACACCCAAAACTGTCTTAAAAGCATCATAATTATTCGATAATTTTATAACAGCAACTCAACAGAGGTTCATATTTTTAACTATACCAAAAATGAGCATATAGACATGACATAAAACGTAAAGATAGTAAATTTTTAATGTTTCTTCAAATGAGGTATGCATACAGATTTTTTCTGTATTAACAGGATAACTCTAACAGACCCATATACTTGATTTTCATCGTCATAACTTGAAAGTACTTTTAAATTTAATTCATGCACGTAGGTTTTAACCCTAAATAAAAAAATATATCATTTAAGAACTAGCATATCATTGAGATTTTGGTAGAAATAATGGATCTTATCCAATTAGTAGAGCAAAATAAATTATCAGCGTGCTCTTTGATTCAAATTACTCCAACAGAAACGATTACCCAGAGATTATTTGAAAGATTCATCACACTTGCCATTAACAGATCTGGCAGAATAGAAAGAATAGAAAGGAAATGAGGGAATACCTAAAGCGTGCATATAAAGGCTTCCAGCAATGGCCCCTATCCCCGCGGATTTCGCTGGCACCGCGCAACTTAGAATACAGATTGAGAAGTGTTGATGCAGAAGAAAGATACCGGTAATCGACTGAGGCACTGGAAAGAAATTTCTTGAAGCCGCCAAACCCGACTTTCGCCGGCAACAAAGTTTTCCTCAGAGGGTTAGGGAACCTGATGAATCCCCACACAATTTCAACAAGGAAGCTCTCGGGGATTACCGAGCTTTCTTTGTCCCGTCGGGGAAGACGATCTGGCGACTGTTGCGCTGCTGATTGACGAATAGGTTTTTAGTGGTTGACATGAAGGTTGTACGCTTTAATGTTTCGGAAAATAATGTTTATAAACATGGCTTTCGAGAGGTTGGGTTTCATCCTGCTCGAGAGTAGGTTTATAAACATGGCTTTCGAGAGGTTGGGTTTCATGACTTCATCCTGCTCGAGAGTATTGTTTGGGTTCTAGAATATTTTAATTTTAAAATTTAAAATTTAAGAATATTGTTTTCCTTATTAAATATTTTATAATTTAAAATTTTCATTCCAAGATAATAATTTTAAGGTCATAAATATTCTAATTATAAATTTTATTTGAGATAAATCTTTTAAGATTAATTTTATTAGCAAATATTGGTTTGATTTTGTTTTGTTTTTTTTTTAACTTTTAGAGTCACAATCTTATTTTGTCATTCTTATAAATATATGTAATTCAAATACGAGAGGTGCCTTAAAGAAAATAAGACAAAAATAGACAAAAAATTTTAAAAATTTTTTGAAAACTTTTGTAAGGTAACATTCATGTGATAACTCAAGAACGTGCGAAATTAGGTCGGATCGAAAAGACTTAGAATATCCACAAAAAAAACTCTATAAATGCAACCCACAGTCAATGAATCAAATTTTTTTGCTTATTATGGGTCAAGAGCGGCTCACAAATGAACTTATTCATTTAGTTAATTATATATTGGGGAATGTCCAAGAACATTCGGTAAGAAATGACTCACTTACAATGTCTATGATATTTGGTTATTTTGAAAACCAAATGATTTTTATCATCTCAGGAGAGAGAATCATGATGCTCTTGACGCCTATTACCAGATCATAGAACAGAGGGTAAATCACCATATAAGCATGCATAACCCATGAAACGACATCAATGATTATTCCAAAAGGATGACATAGCTCTAAAATGTGTCAACAAGAATGAGAGAATCCTTAAGCAAGTAGAGGTAACATGATTAGGATACCATAAATCTGTTTGACAACATTAAAAGAATTTAATATGATTCATTAAATTTATAAAAATAAATTTTAATTAAAAAAATACAAATGAGTATCCAAAACCTCAAAGTGTGTAAAAAAACATTTACACAAATCAGTAATAACTTAAACAAATTACTAATTAATAAATTTTAATGTAAACTAATTTTTTGTTAAATAATAATTTAACATTAATCAATTATTAATTATATAAATAAATAATAACTTAGAATTTTATTAAAAAATTTAAACTTTAAAATTTTATTTATTAATTAATTAAAATTAAAACTATATATAAATATATTAGTTTTAATTAATTTGATAATATATAAATTAAGTATTAATTATTAATCACTCAAATTAAATAAAAAAATTAAAACCTCAACCCAATCTCCCTCTTCTCTCTTTGCCTGAAACTCAGGCCTACATCCTGCCCCTTTGTTTCGAAAAAATTATTGCATATGAACACCGCATGCAACCGATCCTGAACTCTCCTCCCTATTTCAACTTTCTTTTTTTTTTTCTTTTTTTTTTATTTAGGTGAGGCGGTCGAAATACATCTAAATAATTTTTCCTAGTTTCGCCCTACTTCTGATCCCTGTCCAAAACCCTCGCTTTATGTCACTCTACTGGTTTCGCCCAAAACCATCTCCTTCGTGAACGAACGCCCGCAACACAATCGCCATTAAAGCTAGCTGGGAACACAACAACGGGATCGCGGTTTACAGAGACCACCGAAACTCCTTTCTTTCTCATCCTCCCGCTCCGCTCCTACCAGAAACCATTGAGGAAGGTAAGCTTGTTCGCCTCATTCTTCCTCTTCGCTCGTCCCGGATTTACTTAATCTGCCGATTCACAGGATTTACTAAATCCCGGATTTATCGCTAAACGGCGTCATTTAGCTCAGGATTTACGGATGCATTCTTTCCGTTTGGCAGGGTCTAGGTTAAATTCTGCATAAATCCTGCTTAAAACAGGCTACCGAACAGCCCCTAAGCAGGTCGCCCCTTGCAATGGAAGCTTCGAGGTTGAAGAAAAAGACGAAGAAAAGGAAGAGCAGGCAGAGCTCGGAAGTCCAAGGGGGACAGCCGAGTGCCGAAGATGTCAGCACCGTCGAGGAGGAGGAGCGACATGTGGATAACCAGAAAGATGAAGACTCTTGTGATTTATCAGGCAGTGGAGATAAAAAAACAACGGAAGGAGGTGGAGGCGAAGGAGAAGAAGCTCCTGCATCTAAGAAGCTGAAGGCGGGGAAGAATAAACGCAGCGGAATCATGACCAATGAGCCCTTCTCCTCTCTTCCAATTGCTGAGCCCACAAAGGAAGCCATCAGGGAGATGGGCTTCGTAAATATGACCCAGGTTACGAATAACCCCTCCCAATATTTTATTTTTTTTCTAAAATATGAAAAATTGGTAACATTGAGGACGATGGATGTTTTTTAAATGAAGTGTTGGGTAAGCTAAGGTTTTCCCTTCCGCGCAATCTTGTTTTTCGATGTTGGGAAAATCATGAGTTACTGGCTTGTTTTCTTAGTTTTGGGCCTTGTTACATGATTTATCGTTGAGTGAGTTTCTTGTAACAAATGGGAATGTATTCCTGTATATTATATGCAGATTCAAGCTAGAGCCATTCCTCCTCTCTTGATGGGGAAGAATGTCATGGGGGCTGCAAGGACGGGCTCTGGAAAGACTCTTGCCTTTTTAATACCAACAGTTGAGTTGCTATATAATATCAAGTTCTCTGCTAGGAATGGTGCTGGTGCTATCATAATTTGCCCAACTAGGGAGCTTGCTATTCAGGTGCGTCTCATTACCTTTATCATGATTTGGTTCACTATGGAATAGAAAAGATATAAAAGGAGCATAGTTTGTTGAATTCATGTATCATATATTTATATATTTTAGCATCTCATGCCAGCTCAAAGATGAGATTTTCCTCATGTCTCGTTTGTCCTTTTTTCTTTTTAGACGCATACTGTGGCGAAGGACCTATTGAAGCACCATTCTCAGACTCTTGGAATGGTTATTGGAGGTGCAGCACGAAGAGGGGAAGCTGAACACCTTGCGAAAGGAGTCAACATCGTTGTAGCTACTCCTGGCAGGCTTCTTGACCATCTTCAAAACACGAAGGGGTTCATATATAAAAATCTGAAAGTAAATATTTAAATATTCTTCTTTTTTTCAAGATTTTAAAAACAAATTTTCCTATAAATGTTTCTATAATCTTCTATACCCTAGGAATGTCTGCTAGTTGATTACCATATTTTCATTGAAGTTGAATATGTGATTTACTGCTAAACATGATATTAGATTCATAGTTAAATTAACTATACTTTTTGTTCGATTGAAATGAGTCCAAATTGTCCTATTGTATAGGGATCCTATTAGAATGGACCAAATAAAACTGAAAGAGCTCTCTGTTCGATGTATATGAGCATTTTAAGTGTACAAAAATGTTAAAGGGGTAATCTTTCATAGCTGTAGTTGCTTGGTGGATTTAAGTACCACAATTACATCATATTGTTCTGTACATATAACTGGAATTGATAATCAAAGATATGTTATATGCTCAATATCTTACTTTATTTCATTTTGATAATATGAATACAATTTTAATATTTTCTTTTCATATATAGTGCCTTATCATTGATGAAGCCGATCGGATACTAGAGCAAAACTTTGAGGATGATATGAGACAAATTTTGAAGCGCCTTCCTGAGGTACATTTAGTTATTAACTTGAACTTGAACTGGCCTCTTAGTAACGGCAAACTAGTTTGGTCTTGAGAAGCCAAGTAACCTTTTGGAAAAATTTAGCTTTATGGTTTTAGCTGATAACCATTTTTATTCATCATACAAGTAAAAATGTGTTATTAAATATATAAACTCCTTATTTAGAGCCATAATATCTCTTCAAGTTAAAGCTTAAAGAGAATGACCTAGCAAAAGATTCAATTGATTTTTTTAATCAGTAGTAAAATATGATATTCGTCATGATATGGTTTGTATATTTTGAATCTTCAATCATGTTCCAACATCAATACATGTATCTCTTAATAGTTGAATTGATTTCTAACCATCTCCATCCATAGTAATTGGTGCTGGATCATAAGGGAAGGTAAGTTTTATTTATTCATTGTTGAAATGGTTTGATTTTACAAAACCACACTAGATAGAATCTCATTGGCTTTACACTAGGAGTTGGTTTAGTATCATGTTAGGGTTTTTATGGCAGCTTCTTGAAAATTAAATTGATGCTTTAAGCTAAAATTTTCACTTATTCTTAACAAGTAATAGTTTCCATGAAACAAGCAACTGCCTTTGTATGAGCATGACATTGATTTGGGCCAAAAAGAACTTCTTGATAAAAAAAGGGCCTAGCAAGTTACGATTTTTCATCTTTAAATGGATTTTATATGCTTTAAAATAATTCATAGCATCAATTGTTACTATCTCTTAGTAATTGTGTAGAACATAATGAGCATGACATTGATTTGGGCCAAAAAGAACTTCCTGATAAAAAAAGGGCCTAGCAAGTTATGATTTTTCATCTTTAAATGGATTTTATACGCTTTAAAATAATTCATAGCATCAATTGTTACGATCTCTTAGTAATTGTGTAGAACATAAGAATTCACAGCTCCATGCAATTATCCTTTCTTTTCTGAAAAATAGCTCACCCATAATTTGTGCTTTGTAACTCTTGTGAGGGTGAAGGTAAAATGCATTACTGTGTCTGCACTCAACCATAAATTTGTTTTCTTCAGTGATCCTTTATTAGTAACTAAAATGCTAATAGATGGAAGAGGTGGAATTGGGTATCTGGCCATCCACTTATAGAATATTTTTCAAGCAAAGGAGGTGGTGAAATATTCATATTGAACGTTGAATTGGATTTGATATTTAATTAACCAATCAGATTTTCATGCTCCAAGTTTGAAATTAGAGATGGTATTATGAGATTCAATTTGAAGTGGGATATTATGTCATATCACTTTAATTAAAATTTTAATTTCACATAGAAAAAGGTTTATTGATGTCAAATGGCAACACTAACTCAAAGGAATATCTCGGTCCTTTTTAGGTATTGGTATGGTTGTAGTTTCAGGTTGTGTTTAATTTCTTTTATCTTTTCTCATAAACATTTTGTCAATTTGAATCTTATATTGGGAAATATGGTGAAATTTAAGTTTCTTTAATTTGGTTTGGTTGTCTAAGAGAGGAAGCTAGATGAACCTAGATATTCGAAAAATATCAAGGTTTTTTTCAATTGGAATTTGCTTTTTTCATAGAAGAAATATTTTTCCATAAATTTTCTTAACTATATTTTTTGAACTTTGATTTGACATGTATTTTTCTGTTGAGTTTTGTGGGATTCAAATGGATTAGGAGTTTATGGGGTTTGCTATACTTTTTTGTTGAACTAACCTGTTTAATACTTTTATCAGTGTGACAATTAGAGTTCCGAGGAAATTTTTGGTATTTTCCATATGTTCTACTTTGGTATCTTAATCTATGATAGATCTACAAATGACTTCTTTTTTAGGTACGTTTTTAAGGTTCATTGTGATGAGAAACTGTGTTTTAATTTTGAAAGGTAGTATACTTCTATAATTTCTTTTGTCATCTTGTCTATAAGGTTGGGGCTAGTAAGTTATGGCATAAATCCTTTTATATCATGAATCATCATATTGACTTTTTTATGAATTGACCATATGGTGTATGAAGTTCTAGAGGTTAAGCACCAAGAGGCTTATATACTAAATTATCCGAAGGGTATTTTAAATATATGAAGCTAATATGCATTCTTTCAAGAATCTTAAAGAGAAGTTGATGACACTTTTTGTGATCAACACTTTTGAGACATCTTAAAGGTCCTTAAAGTGGAATGTCATACCTTTTTGTCAGTTGTGTGTAGGTATAGTTGGGGTTGTAAGTGTGAGGACATCTTTATGATAGCGTGAAATTGAATCTAGTTGCCAATGAACACAGGCTATTTGAGGCTTTAGCATTTTTGAACTTAGGCATGACAAGAATAATGCTTAAGAAGATGATATCTTTATGTGTGCTTCATTTAAAAAGTTGTGGTATTTGAAGAGGCTAATAGTTTTTCTAATCATTTGATAATTGCCTACTACAAGGACATTATTATTTTAAAAAATATCTCTTTGATCTTTTCTTCTTTTGTGTGACACAATGTGTATATATATATTTTTTTTTTGTAGAAATATTGACAATATAATTTCATTCTATTGCTCTTAATTTATTAATTTATTTTTTTCTTGGCAGTGACATCATTTCCATCGTAGAGGAAATATCATTTTACATTATATTCATCTTTATTCTTTTTAAATTTCTCCCCTTTTATGCTTATTTTTTTTATTACAAGATTAATCTACTTATTGAAAAGATGCATGGAGAACAAACTAAGCAGACTAGAATGTTGTCAAGTAGAATATTGAGAATCTCATGGAAGCTCTCAAGTCGAACTGTACCTCGAGAGTCAAGTGTCTCCTTTGTAGGAAGGCGTAGATTCTTTGTCTGGAGGATCTTGAAACAAATACAAACATTTTAAGTTAAAAGCAAAAATTATTATCCCCACCTTTGATGTTTCTATCGAGGTTGATAATCTCGACGCTTGGTGAGATCAACTCTAGATTTATATTAGTTTTTATGAGTACTGTTTCTATGAGAAATTTTGGTTTGCTTGTTTAAAGAGGTTGATTTTGTGAAACACTTATATCAAGCTTTCACACTAAAGTGTTACTTTGGGTAAATTCAAGGTGTTGCTCCACCTAGATTTCTACTCTATAGAGGTATTATGACGAAGGATGAAAGTGACACGGTTGCGGTGCCAACAAGATTAAACAATAAAAATAGGCATCGTTGACTAAGGGAAAAAACTTTGATAATTGATGTGTTGTTGGAAACTCTTAATTCTGATGAAGTACATACTTGGGCGACATTATATTGTCTTCTACGAATTATGTTTTTGCTCATCAACAACCTTGCTTAAGTAAGCATATTTGCCAGTCATTAAAACAAAAAAAAATATCATGGCATTAATCCCTTTAGTGATGTGAATATATGGAATTAAAAGGCCGCTGCAAAGAGAAGGAATAAAAAAAACCTTGCTAAAGATAATACCACATGAACCTCTTATTTTAGAAATAGCCTCTATTGTTATCATTGCCAAATCATTTTTCATAATAGTCAAGGGCTGAAAGCTTCATCCAAAAATTTTCTAGGAGTTTATGAATTATGCTAAGGAAAGAAGTTAACTACTAAAATAAACATAGTGCATCCAGTAGATTTAGATATTTTCATGATACATTGTGACCCTGTTTAAAAATATGCAATTTGAGGCGTGCCTCAACACATTTCTGAAGAAAAATGTGTTGAGGCATACGCCTCAAGTAGTTTGGGCAAGGTGTACGCCTCAATTTGGCTGATGCATGCATCTCTTGCATTTTTTCCTTTAATTAGATTGTTGTAATTTTTACGCACAAGAACTCCATTCTACGTCCCTTCTATGTAGTTGAGCTTCCTAATGCTGCCAACTTAAATTTTTGCCGAAGCTAACATGCTACCCTAACCAACCCTTACTATGTTAAAAAAAATACAATTTTTTAAAATACTAAAAATTTCTTAGAAAGAATTATTAACTATTTTTGAAAAAATTAAAATTTTGCAGTAGCCATTGAAGCCATGGAATTGGAAAATGACTTTAGATACTGATTAAACCCTCCCAGACAACACGAACATTAATTTTTCCAAACGAACAAATATTCATTCCGTTTCACCAGCAATACTCCAATCGTATACATTGGAATTGGGTGGCATATATGTTAAAACAGGATATATTCAAATAAGACGAGCTTGTACGATATAGAATTATCACCTATACTTGAAAAAGGAAACATAGAGAAGAAGTAACCAAGCAATTGAAGTAAATAAAAAATTGAATACAGTAAGTTCAAGATTCAAAGCAATGCAAATAGAAACTCTCCATTCAGATCAGTACATAAAGTAAGCTAATGTATTAGTACATGCCATTCGACTTCAATCCACCATCATCAAATCTAACACCTGTCCATCCTTTGTTAGCCCACTCTCAAAAAAAATATATCATTGATGAACTTATATCCATAGAAAGTTCTACATGGCGTCGGGCTCCGCGCCGCGTCCTCTTTGCTGCTGTGTCTGCTTGGTGCGGCGCTGCCCCAGGAAGCTGCTGTGGGGAAGCAGCTGCGAGGAAGCTGACTGCCTGTTTGGTGCAGCTGTGTGAAAATAGCTGTGAGGCAACTGTTTATGGAGAAATGACCATGTTGCCCCTGTTTGTTAAAACTGTTTAAAAGAATGTTGTAACAGCTATATTTTTGAAACTTCTGAAAAAGAAATTCATTTCTAAACAGAACAGAAAGTTTATATACATACAATCGTGGTTTCTTAACACATATTATGCGGATTGGTCCTTTAAAGAAAGCATCCATCCAATGCATTTGCAGAATTGTGTTTCTATGGTTCATTTACATACATAGCACACAATTCTTATGCATTTAAATACATACCACAAAATTCAATTGCAGGACAGGTTGCTGGAGCAACAGGTAATCATCATATTTCATCATTGTTAATCGAGGAAATTTTTGGTATTTTCCATATGTTCTACTTTGGTATCTTAATCTATGATAGATCTACAAATGACTTCTTTTTTAGGT